GATAACACACTGGGGATAGGGAAATCTGGAATGGAAGGGTGGCTGACAGGAGACTGCTGCACAGGGTGGCTGCAAGATGTCCAGTTCCTGCAGCAGTGCAGGGGGCTGAGCAGCAGTGCAGGCAGGAGCCAGGTTTTTGAGAGAGGATTTGATTTTCAGAATCGGCAGCTGGAGTTGCATCTTCTGACACCTTTGTAGCCTCCACAGGGCACGCGTGGACCTTGCAAAATGCTTCCATTCTGCTTCCCAACTACCTTCTGCCCTGCTCCAAGAGACAAGTCATGCTGGTCCTGCCAGCCAGTAACTACTCACCAGCCAGCTCCAGTTCCTGGGGACCAGATGAAAAATCCTGTTCCTGTAGTCACAGCTGTGCCATATGCTGCTCAGCCAGTGCTGTTCTCTGCCTCAGAGATGGACACACTTCACACAGTGACAGTAATACTCTTTCAGATGAAAATACGGTTTACAAGAGGAAGTAAGTTAATTTATAATTAACTCGAGATGCCTGAGCCCAAGACAAGGAACACTTTTTAACTGGCAGCCAGATGGCTTTGTGGGCTCTGTTCCTTAAACCATTTATCAGCTTTTCATCTCAGACACTGCCAGTCAAGCAGCAGGCTCTGGAAATTATCCTACCACCTCTCCAGGAGGGTATTTTTGTATAGAGGTTTTGTTGGATCCCCAAACTTTATGTAAGTAGCTTAATTTACTACAGCCCCTTTTTAATTTATTACATTCCCTTTCTTTACAAATTGTCTTTACAAAGGGAATGTAGGACAGAGACTTTTGTTTTGCATGGAAGACAACTGAGGGTTGCAGATTTAAGATTCCTCCCTCTCCTTACCTAAAAGAAAATTAAAAACTAATTACTACTTAAACAGAAATGAAAAGCTTTTCCTTGAGCCCCCTTGTGTCTGTTACAGATACAACTCTCCAGGTCTTTGCCCTATGGTGTGTATGCCTTTCTAACAAGCTCTCTCACAGCAGTGCAGTTTACTTGACCTACTGGTGCTACAAATGGTTTCTAGTAAATGTGTTTTCTGTACACAAAATTACTATTTTTCCTAGATGAAAATCATAGCAATGAGCATCTTCTGCTCTGCACCTCTACACAGATGCATGTGAAAATGCTGACTTCAGATATGAAGCATTTAATGCCCCATGAAGTGTTGATTCCAAAAGGTCAGATTTTAATGCCCATGGGAATCTTCGCTTCCCACCTCTTGCATGGCAGAAACCAAAAACTTCTCCCCATGATTCCTGTATTCGAAGCCAAAGCACCTGCATTGAAGGAGTTGTCCAATTAGTCTGATGGTTACAATGCCTTTTTCATTACAAATAATTTTATCATCAAATTGTCTTGGGATGCTACTCTGCACTGGTCTCCTACACTGAAGAGCCATCAAGTTCTGTGTATGGACCATCATCTTACTCAATTTTTCTCTCCATGCTTTTTCAAACAAAATGGATACTATAAGGGGTTTGGGTTTTTCTGGTTTTTTTTATAGAAACACTTTATTGCTGCAGTCAATAACCCTGTGTATCACACACAAATAACCAATTACAGTTTAAGAAACTAAAAATAATTCTGCAAGTGGTAATACTGAGAAAACGAACATACATGAAAGGATACAAAACTATACATTAAGTTACTAGAAATTTAATAACTAAAAAATTCTGCAGAAGTATGAAGTGTCTTGTATAAACGTTATACAACACATGCCAGTGTAAAGTTCTTCAACATTATACAATTACCTATCTACAAATGTTTTACCTAAATACAAGATTAGCTGCAATTTTTAAACAGTTATCTTCTATACAAAGACAAGTGCTTTCAGTACTTCATTGGAACATACAGACACCGCAATATCTCAAAACTAAAAAATAATCACAAAATAAAAGGTCCCACTTAGAAATTTTCTTTGCGTATCTAATACAACACTAAGGAAATCCAGCCAGCAATATCCTAGCTTTTGTATTTACCCTTTTTGACCCATATCTGAGAGGGACCCAATCCAGAGTCACTGACCTCCCCCCTTTCATTGCTGGCCAGTCTCCAGAGCAGACCACAGCAGAAATCTGTATCTTAACACATGTCAGCTTTAGGAGAAATTTGGACCTGGTTTCCACTTTGCAATAGATACATACTCTGCCACACACAGGGCAGAAGCTCCTGTGCATGGCGACATCCATGCATCACTTCCAAGGTTTCCCATGAGTGGCAGGCCAAGCAGCCCCTTCCTTACAGCACCAAGTGGGCCTCGTGCTCTGGTCAGTACAGAGGGCTGGCTTGAACAGAGTTATGACTGCTTCCCAGCAACTCCCAGGCACAGCACAGAGGCCCAGTACTTCTCTAAGCACTCGGAGGCTCATTCAGTCTTCAATGAATGCCTCCCTGCTGAAGCAAAGCCAATCTCAATGACACTCAACCAGAGGGAGCTGTCCCAGGGTCTGGCCATCTCTTCAGAGCACATTATAAACACCATTCTCACTCCCAAAATACAGGCTTACAGCTGAAAAAGTCCTGAGAATCCACAGGAATTTAATATCTCATCAGCTCTTACACAGAATCAACCTTCTGCAGCACACACCTGTATTTGTAATATAATGGACATTCATGAGCTGGCAGATTCATCCAATGTGACACAGCAGGGGAATTTCCTTGGCCCAGATGGTGTCTTTTTGCACAGGAGTGCTATCAATAGAATGGGGTCAATTACATGGGGCATTGGATATATCAGAAAAGGCTCTGGCAACCCAGGGAAGGGATTGTAGTAGAAGATGGCATTAAGCCTATGCTCCCTCCTACTTACATTCTGGTCTCAGGAAAGTCCCAGGGTAACCCAAGCTAACTTTGGCCAAAGTAGATGGACCAGACTTCTAATTCAGTCATTTCAAAAGCTGCCAGAAGGAAGTTCTGGAAAGCCTGATCTAACAGGGGGTGAATGTTCCCTGTACTGACATCTGAACAGAAAGGACAGAGCTCACCTGAGCTGGCATCAGTGCCTCACAGCTGGAAGCTCAAAAAAAGTCAGCATTATCTTCTTGAGGAGAAAGAAGAAAAAAGCACCATTCAGCCTTCTCAAACATTTGATGGCACCATGCAAAAGCAGAGAACTGCATCTCCAGAAGCTCACCATTAACACCAAGCAAGAATCAGCTTGAGAAGTGTCACCAGCATAAATGAAACCCCCTGACAGATGGATCTCTTCTGCAGTCTTTCCTGGTATGAGCATTCCTAAGCAGTATAAAGAATTTAAATAATAGGCCTTAATTTTCATTCAGAAAAGAACTGCTGGGAGAGGGAATTGTTAGCAGCAACATAGGCTAAAATATTTTCATTCACAAGTATTCTTCCCCAAGTGATTTTGCTGGAGATGATTTTTCTTTACAAGTTAAGATACTCAGGGGCACAGCAAAAACCTTCAGTACCCTGAATACACTGAACAAGACCTGGCACATTCCACATGCAGCTCCCAAAACACCAAATGAGATTTTGCAATGCTTCACCTAGAACCATGTACACCAGTGACTGAAGCAGAAGCAGCAAGTTCGGCAATGTCAGAACATTGCTCACACACCAGAGCCACTCAGGTGAGCTGGAGAACAGCCAGGTTTCCCAGCAGGTTTCACAGCAGGACTTGTCCATCTTCATTTCACCCAGCAGCCCAGACAGGATGAGCAGTGCACAGCATTGCTCAGCAGCTGATCCTGTGCACCTTGCAGCTGTAACGTGAGCCTCTCACAGATGGGCAGGCCTTGTGCACTTGGGCTTTTCAGAAGAACATCATGAAGGTGTGCAAGACCTCATACTTAACCCACCTGAGTTTAGCTAGTGAATCTTTCACAGAACAAAACAGAAAACAAAACAAGACAGTGTATTATCTGGGTTTTCAGAAGAAGATCACCCACAGCAAAGTTCAGGAAAGGTCTTGAGTAATTGCACTTTAAATATGGCAGGCACAGGCAACAAACTCTGCATGTGTATGGTCACAAAGACTGCCCCAATACTAGCAGAGTATGCAGGGTTTGTCTGCCTGTATCACTTAAGCATGGGACATCCTGACAGCTAGTACAGTACACAAATCCATGCCAGTGCAGCTTTACCAGGACTGCCCAGAGGTCTGGATGTTTTAACACATCTCAAGAACAAGGTACCACATTGTTCATGAAGATCACAGACAGTAAGCTTCAAGCATGAAGTGACAGAGGCACATGTGCTTTTCCTGTAACAGCTTCCAGAAACCACTGGGATGAGTGTTCTCTTACCAGAGTCCCTTCTCTGCCTTCTATTAAAATATTGATTTAGAAATAAATTAATATTACATTTTAAGGAAAAAAATCCCTGATCTCTTACTGTTATATTTTAAGAAGTCTTAAAGCAGCTGTTTTTACTATGAAAAGAATGTACCCAAAGTCGTACTTCAAAAATACTAAGTGAAACTTGAACTAGAACTAAGAATTTAGTTCACTATCTCAGCAAGTAAACAGAAACTTTTACCTGAGAAGTCCAGGCAACTCCTACTAAAACCAGCCATATTATGATCATTGACTTGACAGAGATTTAGACAGGGCTCAGGTAGGGCAAGTCAGCTTTCAAATGCAGAGGCCTCATGTGCTGACTTTTCATGGGGCTTTGTTTCTGCTCTAGTCATACTGAGACTTTGGTTAAATGAGGGCTTAAAGCTGGACAGTGGTGCAGTGAAACAGACTGGATAAACAAATCAACTGCAGACACCCCAGGCTTTGGGAAACTGTCTAAAGTCTTGCTAACAGATTTTAAAGCTGTCCCACTCTTTGCATGAAAGCTGACTGATTAAAAAGCCAGTCCCAAATTCAAAAGCACAGATATATACTATTCTCTGACCACACAGTGCATTCACATCAAGCAGGTATTTTTAAATGTATCCACTTAATGTGATATTTACTTCCCAGACTTGCATGTCAGCATTTCCTCTGACAACATCAAATTCTTGGGTAATTCAAACAAGACATAGCACTAAAAAAAGAAAACCAGTTTCAGCTGTATTGACCAAGTTTCCTCTTTTCTGTAACAGCTCACATTTTTATCAATATAGCAACAAACCCTTTGCCAATGGTTTGGAATGAAAGCCACATCAGGTATATATGTGCAGGTATGTTGATGGTTTGACCTGTTGGGAAAAAAAATCAAAACCAATCCCCAAAGCAGAGCACTGAAATCACTGGAAACAAACATTGTACACATCCACTATTCCTCATACACAAGTCACAAGTGCAATATCCCTTGAAGAAAATTGCTCCTCAAAGGAAACCCAAAGAGGCAGAATTTTTTAGTGTTACATTTAGTAAGATAATGTGGGCATGTGTGGGGAATCACAGGCTGAAATTTAATTTTTTTTTTTTCATAAGGCAAGAGGTTTATGTTTCAGAAGAATAGATGGGGTAAAGAATGAAGAAATATTTCAAAAATGACACATTCTTTCAAGTTTCATTCTCATTTGACATACATATCACAAAATAAAGGTTTTAAAAAGTGCTATATGCTTTGTAAGTCTCATTGCAATATGTAAAGCAAAATTTTACACCTGCTGTTTGAGACACACTGTTAGTGGCAGTGTTAGTGGTAGATAAGACTCTCACATTTCTCTCACTGTCTGGGACAACCTCCTTCATCACACATACAGAACAGACCAACCAACCAACGCCACACTACACATCCTCCAGAATCACTTAAGAGTCATGTTTTAAAGGTACAGACTCCATGAAACTGATGACAGCTCGCTAGCGACTTCCTTGATACCAAACCCAAGGCTCATTCTACCCTGTGAATGCCTCATCCTGTGGCTCTTTGATCAGCCAGTAGGAGACACAAAATGTTGAGAGGTATGCAACCATGATGACATTGACAGATATGCCTAAGGGATTTTAAAAAATTCCAACCAAAAAAAAAAAACAAACTAAAAAAAAAAACAACCCACAAATGTAAAAAATTCATCCGCCAGCCCTCAGCTGTTTGCTGATGTTAAAAAGGTAGAGCAGTTTGCAGTAAACAATGATATTCAAATCTTCAAGGACATATGGAAATACTCCTTCCACCCAGAAATCAGACATGAAGGATTTCTGCAGCACAGTCTTCTGGCTCTGTGTAATGTGAAGAGTTTGTGTCTGAATGGTGAACACCAAACATTTCTTTACTTTCGAAGTTTGGCTCCATTAGTGCAGGTTTTTCAAAAATATTCTTTTTGCTAGTTTCTGGACAGTTTTGTACATATATTACTCGGTTATAAGCTTTAAGTCTCTTCCACAGCTGTACATACACCTTGCATTGTACATACATGAACAGAAGTCCTCCAGTGAAACCAATAGCCACAACTACCAGCTTAGTCCAAAATGGCCACTCTAGAATGCCTGGAAGTAAAAAAATGGAAAGAAGAATTAAATTCATCTCAGAAACTGTCAGTCAAATAGCAGGAAATTATCCTACCATCTCTCCAGGAGGGAGGGTATTTTTATATAGAGGTTGTCTTGGGTGTCCAAACTTTATCTAAGTAGCTTAATTTACTACAGCCAAACTTTCTTAACCTGGACTAAACTGGATCTTTCAAAAATGCACTGTAAGGAAACTGTTACAGAGTTTGGGTCATGCCAGCTATTCTTATTTTGCAATTTTTCCTGTCTGGCTTTTTTTTTTTTTTCTTTTCAAGTTAGACACATAGACTTCTGCTTCACATATCACATTCTTCTTCACCAGAGAAAAAACCAAAACAACTGATTTTCTGTGTCTGAGCCTTGAGGCAGTACAATCACAGAGTCAAGGCAACCACCAGTGATATGCTTAGGTCTTTTACACCTGTTTTTAAACAAAGACTGGATCAAATTATCAAAGGGATTCTATGGCATGATTTCCTCTTCATAGCAGAGACTCAACTCAGTGACCCAACAAGTCTGTTCCAACTCTGTGATCACACAGCATATGGAGACATAAAGGAATGATTGTTACCATAGAGCTTGACATGTTTGTTATGCAGACGAGGAAAATTTTATCTGCATCACACTCAAGAACTTGTATCTGAACTAGAGCATCTACTCTGATACAAAACTGCAAGTGCTAGAGATGCTGAAGCATTCCAAGTTTTCCCTCTGTCCTTAAAAACTATCACCATTACTTTTTGCCTAAATTTGTCTAGCTTGAACATTTAGAAAGTAGATCTTGTTACATTTCTATCAACCACCTGTAAATGAAAAACTATTCCTTTTATACATATTCTGCTTACATAGGTCCTGTATTCATCCAGCCTCTTTAAAATAAGTGCCATCACAAGATGGATATGAAACTATGCTGAATCAACCATTATCAGGTTTTTCAGAGAATAAAATTGTATCTTTCCAACTATTCAAAGTTTTAAGTAAGATATAGGGCTGGTGGTGTTTTGGAAATGCACAGCAGTGTGGGAGGAATTAAAATATTTTAGTCCCAGCTTACAAAGGGCATTGCAGCTACTGATGAAATCCCACCTGTGATTCATATCTGACCCTCTGATTCAAAGGTGAGCTGTCTGATGCTGTCTGTAGGCAGTGACAGCACATGCTTGCTGCTGTGTGGACATGAATATATATCCACACATCCCCCAGCTCATTACAAAACTCCTTGGATTTAGAATCCAAATGAAAGGAGAAAAGAAAACATTATAATATGTGCCAAATATTCACATAATTCCTTCCTAATTATGTTCATCTAATGTATTTACAGGATAAATAACCTGGAGATGATAAAGCTCTGAAAACATATCCTTTTCATTATCATATGGAAACCTTACACTTTTGGAAAGCCAATAATGTTCACTGTTCATGGAAGAAATGGGGTTGGATGGAACAGAAACTAAGAGATTTCATTGGAAGCAGCTTCCTGACTGAAGTCGTGAACAATGCAACTATAGCCTAAATGAGAAGCGAGAGGATAACTTTTGAATTTCAAGTGATTCTGCTCTGAAGAGACTTTAACAGCTCTGTGGATTTACAGGTTTAGCAATGCTCAACTACCTCCCTGAAGGACACTGTTCAATCACCAGCAAAACATTTTCCACCTGCATGTCTAATAGGCATACAGTGCTCTGTAAGCAAGGACAGCTTGCCTTCTAACAGCTTCCATCCATTCCGTCCCCACCTTCAGGCTTAGCTGCCCGAGGAACAGTTTTGTGACAGCTGCAAATCTGCAGCCCAGCATACCTAAGCAAACACATTTCATCTTGGTACGTTTACTGCTAACATACTGAAGAAAACATTCTATTCAAGAAGTTAAGGTACCTGTGCACTGGGGTGGCAGCCCTTGATAAGATTGCAAGCATCTTATCTCAGTTGTGCAAATTCGAGTCCTAATATTCAACTTGAATTTCTTCTGTTTCAAGTGCAATCACTCATAAAAGTCTTCCCAGCCTAACATGGCTCTCACTGATGACTAACCCAGCCCACAGATGACTGGGTGGAAAGAAAACCCTGTTGATTTACCTCAAAGATTTGAATTTAGGTTCCTCTTACTTCTTCTCTTTTTAAAAACGGTTCCAGTTTTGCCAAGTTTAAAGGTAGTCATAGCAGCAAACAAATGCTTATATTGTTATCTGCAAATTTAGACATGAATTTGCTGAGGCAGTGCAACTTTGTGTCTGGCTACAGTGGGTTAACTCTCATATCCATGCATTTCACAACTGCAAACTAAATTGACCTGAAATAGATTTAAAAAGTACCCATAGATTAATTCACTGGTTAATTTACTGATTTAACAAAATAATTTTAGAACTCTGCTCTTAAAACAACCCAATATGAGGGTAAAGCTGACTAGTTTACATTTAACACTTTATGTCTCATACCCTCTCTCCAATCAGGATAAATAATTATTCTAAGAGAATAAGCGAAGATAAGCAAATAACATACCGGTAGTTTGTCCCTGTTTAATCTCTTCAGCAGTCCTGTCTATCAGGACATAGAGAGACCACACAACGCAGGTGATGGCAATGATATGGAATGTTACAGAGCACATGATCTTCCTCCTCTCGCTGGCTGTCATCTGCAGTTTCTCCCACTGGCAAAAAAACAGGAAGAACCAGAGCAAGAGATTAGGAGTTTATTGTCATTACTAGAGAGTATGAAAAGAGAATGCTGATAAGAACAAAAACCAGACAGGAGACCAGTTTCCTCCTAACAAGGGTTTTTAAAGTCAGATGGCATCACTGCATTGGTCACAGCATGCGTGTGATGGCTGGCAGCTCACCCTGCTGTGACAGGAGCCATCCTGGTGCCACAGGGGACTCAGCTCCCACCCAGCACCTCAGAACAGTGTCATCACACCCTGCTTACCCACACAGGGCAGCTCCAGCACAGAGGGCTCCAACAGTGCTGCTCCTTCCCCTGCTCCCCACTTGACAGCAGGTACCCACAGCCGCAGCTGAGCATCTCCCCTGGGAGGGGCTACCCTTGCTCAGGGAAGTCTTCAACAGAACAGTGGAAGTGGCACATGGATCAACTGACCAGGTTGTGTAAAGACAAACACCTCATGGTGGGCACTCAGAGTCCCATGGATGTTCAGTTCTCACCTCCTGCCTCTGGGGGCTTCATTCAATCTTCACTTGTACTTAACACCACTTATAGCAGCGACACTCACACTTTATTTTCAGTGTTTCAAGTGCACTTAAATACATATGCCCTAAGAATATACAGTAGAATGGGGGTGACAGCTTTTCTAGAGTGAGAGGATGCAGCAAATTAAATCCCCAGATCTGCATCTAACAATAAAGCTCATATAGCCCAAACAAAACCACAAAACCAGGCCAATGTACTTTCAGAAAGATACAAGGAAACCAGACAATTATTATAGATGCTTTTAATATGCCAAACATACCTGGGATACCCAGAAGCTGTGTTTTAAATTTCTTTTCTGTAATTTTGTCTATATATATGATGAAAGTTTTTGCATGTGGGACACATATTCCTCAGCATATCTACTTGGAAGAGAGTTATGACAGGCTGTTCTCACACTTCCACAAAATACATGTTGGGACATACAAACATCTAATGCATAAAAAGATGCATTTGATGTCTCATAGAATAATTTGTAGAAAAAGGGGACTTCAAAAAGGAGGCATGATGTGAAAGGGTGTAAGGATGACCTTAATGGTATGATTGAAATCATCCATTATGTTGAATTACTGCTTCCAATGCCACAAAAACGAGAATGGTTGAAACATGAGACAGAGACTCTGTGATCATCTCTGTGCTGCCAACAGACACATCACTTTGTCCAGCCCAAGCCACATTTCCAGTAATGTGGGCATCCAAACCTCATCATGGCAGAAGAATTGAGTACTTCCATGAATGACATGCTAGACTTACTGTACTAGAAAGCTGTATTTTTTCAATCAAAAGATTGAACAAAACATTCCCTTTGCATGTTGTATTTTAAATAGAAAATTTCTTTTGCTTCTATAAAAAGGTGTTGCCTTTTGATAGAAAGTACAAATTAATCAAATTATTTTGCCAAAAATCAACCATGTTAAATCTATTTGCAAATGCTTTTGCAGAGCCAGGAGGACCTGTGCTTTGACCAATTTACAGTTCTCTTTTCTGTGCCACAGCTTGGGCTCCTCTGCTGGACAATACCTTCTGTGAACTGCTGGCTTCATAGTCACAAAACCAGCTTGCACCACCTCACTGCTTCAAGAGAGATGACTGCAAAGCAAAACAGAAAATATTCTGCAAATTGCACACTAGCAGGAGACTTTGAGGAAACTCAAGTCTGTAGGCCCCTGCTGTATTATTCTGATGACACAGCATTTGCCATTTCCCACTTAAAATAACCAGCAGTTCAGGACTTTTTTCAAGTGTTGTTAAAACAAACAACAAAAAAAAAAAGCCCAGCAGAAAGTTTAGATTTAATATCTCTTTTTTCCACTGAAATCTTAAAATCAAACATCTCTCTCTTGTCTGCCCTCATCTTAATTTGAGCCAAATTTTGTTCTCACCCTCTTCCCTTAGTATGTTAGTGTTAGAACAGTCCAACACTGCACTACAACCTTTAGATGCCATGGAAGTTTAATTCCATTTCTACCCTACAGAGAAGGAGAAGCCCTTATTATTTGTCCCATCCTGATCATACTCACCAATTCCAGGCTGTTTTCTCCTGACTGAAAGGTTACACAAGGGCTGAGTTGAAGATACAGAGGCATCTTATCTTTTTACTGCAGCTGAACATCTAAAAGGACTCTTTATATATATTTGAGAGGCAAACTCCTTCTATTTATGGTTCTATCCCTACCTTCTGGCAACTTGTCTGCTTCCCACAGATGACCTGTTCAGATACAACTAATGATGTTGAGTGACTCATTTCTGAAGGTGCACATTTTTTTTTTTTCCCACAGGGCACAAATATTCAGAAAATGTTCACCACCCACTTCAGGCAGAGTAAGCACAGAAAAAAAACAGCAGTCAACTGACAACAATAGCAACTCTTCTTTGGATTCTCTAGGGTAACTCCTTTCCTGCCCTATAGTTGGGCTGTGCAAAGTATGGTCTGTGCAGACACAAGAGCTTATGATGACCAATAGTGCAGCTCAGAAACAGCTACACTCTGTGCCAAGGGGATACCAAGCCAAAAGCAGCAGTTCTAGAAGGCAATGATCCACCACAGTCATACACAAAGGACATCCTATCCACTGGACATGCTAAGCTATCCACTTTGCAGACAGTACAACTCTCTGAAAAAATAAGAAGTGTTTGAAATCTGCTCTATTTTCTGTTAGAAGTCACTTCTAGGATTTGGACTAGTTCTCATAACAGTTTTTAGATAGCTGCAGTCCAAACTTATCACCCTACATGATTTAGGCTCATCATAACTGAATTTAATGTTTCTCATTTATTCTAGTTCCAGACTAAGGTTATCATTATCAAACTTTTCCACTTTGGCAGATATGGCAAGACTTGTCTGTGCTAAGAATACCAGTGATTTCCATCTCAAAATCCTAATGTCAGGACAACTGACATTGAAAGCTCAGAGGATGTGGGAAAACAAAATGAGGATAGAAGCACAAAACTGATCTTAGCACCTATACTTTAAGTCACTAGATTTATGAAATATACTTATCTATTAAACGAAAATACAGGTTCTAGTCACTCACAGCCTACGAAAAGGTGAAAATGAAAACTCATTTAACAGGGAACCACCTTCTACTTATAATGTATTATTTTCACTAAGTAAGTTTGATCCTTTAAAGAGAAAGGGAAAGCTACAAATTTTAACTAAATTACATCCAAGAAATGTGATGTAAAGTAAATTTAATATGAAACGCTCATATTTTGAAGAGAACTTAAAAGCCATATGGATCTTAGAGCCACAAAGTAAAGCAGCTAACAGTAATACAAAGCTCGCCATTAAAAAAATATTGGTAACTGTAGAGTTTTGTGCACTAAAATTGAAAGAAAAATATCAGATTGTTGCATGGATATATGCGCATATATATATATATATATATATATATACACACACACACACACACACACACACACACACACACACAAAGAGAGCTGCTGGGCTGTAACAGCTGTTATCAGAGCTGGATTCCAGTGATGAATTTGTCAGGGCAAGTGTTAATTCAAGTCCTTTTGTACCTATACAAGACTGACCAGACTTACTAAGGAGCCACAAAACCATTAATAAATATATGGTGGGTGCTGCAGCTCATGGGACAGCCTCTTCCAGAGTGGATCTGTTTAACAAAGCATGTCCTTGGGGAAGCAGGTCCTGTGCCTACCTTTCTCAAAGGCTTCAGTTTTGTCTCCATGATGAACTCATACTTGCACAGTTCACAGCATCGTGTATCCGAGCTCTTGATCCATTGCTGCAGGCAGGCCTGGTGCACAAAATGAAGACTTCCCGTGCAGTGACAGGGGGTAATCAAAGGGCTCTCATCATCTCCTTCACAGTGACATATCCTGAATCAGAAGCAAAGCTGCTCATTAGGAGAAGAGGAAGCAGAAAGGATGTGGAAGAGCCATCTAGTATCTGTGATCACACATGGATGTTCACTGAGGATCCCGAGACATATAAATCAAAGGAATGTGTTCCACAAAGGAGCTAAAACTAAACAATTCAATTGCAGCACAAGCACATACACAGGCACAAAATAATTAAGCACAGGCACAGCTAACTAGAGAGCTGCTTTCTCACAGATGATGCACACACATAGAGCCTGACAGAAATGCAGTACCTGAAAGAAAAAACGGAGCAAGAAATGACAATGTTTCACCCAGACCAATAGCACTTAACTGCAAGTAGCATTTAAACAGATCAGACAGCACTTCCCAGGACAAAATATGTGCAGAGAGGTACAGCTACTCATGTACTACAGTTTGAAATAGAAGATATAACAAAATTCCAATACCAGTGGTGAAACAGTCCACCCCAGGATCATGAACACCTAATTTAGACAGCCTGGATTTTACACAAGTGATTAATTTCAATACAAACTCCTAAGAGACAGATTCACAATGCAAAACTACAGCACTGAATCTGAACCCCAAAACACACTTAGTCTAAATGGTTTTGCTTCTCCAAATCTGACGTAGTAAGAGTTGCTAAGGAAGCATTAGCTCTGCAAAATTCCCTATTTTTCTCACAGCCTAATTGTGCAAACAGCAAAGACATCTGATAATGAGTTACTACCAGCTGTTAACATTTGATTTCCAGATTCAATTTATACACAACCCCTGGGTAGCATCAAGCATTGTGAAGTCCTTCTAACCATGTGGAAGAGGTCATGAATTGAAAGGGGGATGGTGAGGAGCTCAGGGAATGAATACAAGTTACCAAGCATATGTGAAGCACATTCTGGCTTGCTGCCATCCCTGTCTATTACTGAAATCTCTTACTGATGTGTAGCATCTTGCCTCTTGTGACCTTGCTGATAGCTGGCATGTGGAAATGAAGGCGTGGGTGGATTACAACAGCATCTTATTGATGGTAAGCCAGTACAGAACTAGATATGGTGGTAATGAGGGGGGAAATAATATTGGAGAGTAATAACAAAGCCAGCTTGAGGAAGTGCTGTTAGGGAGGAGAAAGACTAGGATAATAAAATGCTAGGTAGAGGGATTAGACATTTGATCCTGAACTTGATGACTCCTGCTCCTCAAGCACATTTTTGATGTGGGATAGGGCAGACCAGTAGACAAGTCACTGTGAAGACAGTCCAGATCTTGTTGTTCCTAACACCTGTGCACATGAATAATCCTTTGTAGCTGGAATAAGGACACCCATCATTTTTGAACCTCACACTATGGACCTCATACAGGCCTACCACTAACAGCCAATGCTCAGATACCCTTTGACCAAGACAACCAGGAAGCCCTTAACAAAGAAAAACGTGTGGTGGGATACAAACTTGGGGGGGGAAATCTAAAGCTATATTGATCTGATCTCACATGCAATTTTCAAGCAGTCTGTTTTCCTCCTGACTCCCTGCCTCTGACCAAACTAGCAGTGCTATCAGGACAACACATTGCTCATTAAAAGCTAAGACATATTCAGCTTGACCTTTATGATGTGTAGCTGAATCTCTCATAGTATTCCCAGTTTGGGCACTGATAAAGTATCTCAGAACCCCAGACCTGAAATACATTTTAGAAGAATTTCTTTGACTCCAAAGGTAGTTATTTTGCTTAGTAGCCTTGTTAAGTGCATCAGAGGGGTGCATGACCACAGAGAAAAGGCTGCATGCTTCAAATCATACATACTGTATTAGCAAGATGACAGGGTAAAAGAAGAGACAGAAACAGCACAAAGGCAGGGGAAAGCAGAATAGTCACCACCACACATGGGAGGGTTAACAAGGTAGGTGGTTCTCTGGTAAACCAACCTGCAGGTATCCCCTGATGTGGACACAGGGGAGAGAGGGGGTAACTTTTCTGAGAGGGGGGAAGGGCAGTCAAGGTCACTGTCCTTCTCAACTGAACAGAGTGGTGCCCGCTGCTCTTTTGTTTTGAGTTTCACTGAGGTGTTGTCCTCAAAGACGTCATCATCTCCCATATCATCAGAGCAGAAGTCTGTGCTTTCCACCAGCATGCTGGAGGATTTGTCAGCTTGGAAGTGACTGGAATAGCTCTCCAGTTCATGAAATTTATGCAGGCTGCTGATGCTGGAGGTGTGGGAGAAGGAAAAAAGGTACCGCAACAGTTTTTTGCTCCTTGAGGAGTCATGGTCCACCTTGTCCTCCAGCAGGGGGATATGTACAGCGCTGTGGTTCTCTGCTCCTCCCGATGCACTTGAGTAGTTGGAAAGGGAAGGGATATAGGAGTGCTTAGAATTGCTAAAAGAAAGAGGCCTGAGATTCAGCGGTTTCCTCTCTTTAAGATGAAATTTGTTAATCCTTAAACACTGCTCTTGATTCAGGGTCAGTTTGCCTTCTGAGCGTGTCCGCTCCACATAATCAAAGCACTCGCTGGTGCTCTGCGCCTTCTGGTCCACGTCATTGAGGGACTTGGAGAATTTCAGGGCGCGGGTGGGCTTTACGTTCTTAGCAGACCTGAGTGCCTGGCCCCGATCCTGCCCACGGGAGTTTCTCTTTGCTGCGTGTAACGTGTCCTGACAGATTACTGTCACAGTGACCCCTTGTGTCATAGGGCTCTGGCAGTGCGGATTTTTCAAGACAACAGCAGACTGCACTGGACTGTGATGACAACACTCAGAAAACACTGCACTGGAACTGCATGCAGAATAGTGGAATAAAAGCACATAAAGTAAAAAAAAACAATTAAAAAAGAGAACATATATAATTAAAAGTGAAGAAATGAGAATTACAGCTAGTGTGGGAATGGCAAACATAGCAGGGCCAAACAGTCAGTAGGATTTAACAAAGCAGTGTTAGACAGCAGTTGAGTCAAACAAACGGTATGCCCCAAATGGGAACCCCGCATCACTTACTTCCCCATAAACATGCTTTTTCAGTTTTGTTTTTCCTTAATTTGAACCTCGCCTGAGCCTCACTGTAGCCACGCAAATGGCACACTTTACCTGCAGATGTCTTGGTTGGATGGTGTAACAGAAGTCCGAGAGAAGCTGTGAGGGGCAGACACAGAGGTTGGACTTCCAGCCTGCAGTGAAATTAAAACAAACAAATAAAAAAAACCTCAAGTCAGGAGTCAGGATGCAGAGCAATCACCTTCAGGGTGAAACACAGCACATGGAGTCAGATACCCTCCACAGCAGATACTCAAGGGCTCGTTGTAAGAAAGTGACTTTCCTGTTAAATGTGAAAAAGATCACATAGTCTCAACCCTGGAGAAGCAGTGATCAGAACAGAAATGTTTTACCCCAAGGTCAAATGCAGACATCTCTGGAGTGGAACCTGCCAGCTGTCAAACATTGCACAGAACAATAGCTCAGGAAATGGGCAATGCTACAGTAATTAGAATAATTAGATGTCAGTGTGTGTATAAACTAGCTGGAATTTAGCTACCATGGAATAGCTAATCCTTCCTCTAAAAATGATGGCAAGAGATTGGAGGCTAGCTGTTTCTTCACAAAACAGAACCGGCAGAGACTCAAATACAACCTGAAGACTTATATTCCTTAATAGCATATGCACATGAGCTCCATCTGCCAACCCAGACCATTCCCTGAAGTACTTAGTGTACTTTTTGAGGCCTTTCATCCTGCTCAGGATGTAGCTGAACAGGATATTTCAGGATGGAAGATCCATACTGGAGAAGAGGTTTGACAGCAGTCATATTTGTAAGTCACAACAAGAACACAGTGAGAAATAAAATAACTGAAGAATTAAAAATTAGCTGAACTAACTCAAAAACATAAAGTGAAGCTCTTGGTATATTTAACACTTAATAGACAAATCTGACCTCAATATGCTAAGAAAGAACATTGTCTCAGCTGTCACTCCACTGGCTGTTATTAAACACCTTTTCTGCTGCTGTATCCTCCATGTCACTTTGACAAACTTCTCAACTCTCCCTGGAGACTTTTGTGGGGAGGACACCTGCATTAATAACCTCATAACAGAAAATCTTTAAACCTGGGTTTCCCATGTTCCACAGCTGCTGGACAGGCTGCACTGCTCACCCACTGCTGCCAAACACTGTTTGCACTTCAAAATTCAAACAAAGCTTTACAGCTCTTTTGATCTGCACAGCAAAGCCTGAGACCCAGGAAAGAACAACGCAGTCAGCAGAACAACAGATATGTCCTCTCCATATTGGGCTGCACAGAAGCCAGCACTGCCAGCAGAGACCTGGGTCAGGCAACTGCAGACAGCCAGACCCGGGAGACCTCAGGTGACAAAAGGTGTGCTACCACAGAAGCCTGCTGTGCCCAGCCCTGTGCTTCAGCTTCAGACACCAGAGCTGCTCAGCTATCACTGCTTTGATCATGTTGCAACACACACTGTATCTGTCTTGGGACTTATAATTCTATACTTAATTTATTAAAAGCCCCTATCGTATATTTGAACAAAGCTGCCACGGAGTTTTACACTGTCATAGCAAAATCAAGGTTCCTTGTCACACATTATACTCTTTATTTCTTTGTGAGAGAAGATACATGCACATGCTACTTTACAAATACAGATAAAACAATAACCTTCCTTGTCACAGAACTAATCTTTTAAGGTTTTATTTCTCTAGTCAACAGCACTATAGACAGCAATGTATCTGTCCTCACATTAGGACGCCTCAGGTACACAGACACTGAAAAAACAAGTATCCATTTACAGCTCGGCCTGCAGGAATCAAAGGCAAGACTCAGCCAAGACTGACACACACCTCTCAACCCTTAGTAAGACATTGTAACTTATTTCCCATCTTACCCAAAGCTGGGTACATGTATAGAATAAAACCCAGCAGAATAACCTTGGGCCAGAAAGCAAACTGAGCTATGTAATGACTGTGACAAAATAAATTAACAAGTATCAATTACTGGCTTTATCCAGGAAACGACAGTTCTTTACATTTTATACCACTTGCACATGCCAATGACACAGGATTCTGATCATGCAGTGATGTGAATTCAGGTACTTGCTGGAAATTTGTTTTCTCTTTGACGCTTAACCTCTCCTAAAAGCAGGTACACCTGACTTCATATCATATCTTTTATAAGGGTTTGTGCAGTAACTTTTTCTTAACTCAAAGTCTGACAATTTAATGAAAGATCTGACACTAATTTACTGATAAACTGTTTCACTCTGCAAATTAAACTAAAATAATGAAATAGTTTAAAAAATATATTGAGCAGTCTTCTAAAAACAAAATATTAAACCAGTAAAACAGCAAGTTGCATTCTGCCATGGAGACAGAGCTATATATTGTTGGAAGTGAAGTCACAAATCAATTAATAAATCTGTCTAAGGTTTTATGTTATGAGCAAATCACAGAAGGTAACCTGCTAAGAATGAATCCGATCTCTCAGCTGCTTCAGTTTAGCCATGAACTTTTCTAAAAAAGGACAAAAGAATATATGATGTGACAGTCTAATGGCAGATGACTAGAATCAGTGATCCAAAATTTCCCTTCCAAAACCATGTTACTGGTTTCTTGATCCAATTTTCTGGTACCTAGAGTGTTAAAAGTCTCATCAATTGGGAAATCAAAAGGCTGGGACAAAAAAGAAATTGTGGAATTTTATCTGCATTTCAAGTTTAGTATTCTGTTTCTAGATGCCAGTACTGTTTAGAGTGGCTTAGAGAAACTCAGCATCTGAGGCACATTTCTTTTACCCCCATCTTTCTGCTTCAGAACAAAAGATACTTTTCTCTATTTTCATACATAATGAAAGTGCAACCAAACTATGAACAGAAATTAACACGCTTGGATAGGCACCACAAAAAGGAGCAACAAATCACTGGAGAAAGTTATGCTCCACCCTTGGTTCAAACAAGCTGTGGCTACCACCAAAAGCCGTGGTTCAATGAGCCTCCAGTCACTCTGTCTGTCCTCCTTTCGTCCCATGCTTTTCGCTCATTAAACTTTACAGAGCTGTACTGCAGCTCAGAGTAGGACAGTGAGGTAAAACCATTGCTCTAATGCCAGTCACTTCCCTAGGAATGTCAGTCAGTGACAGCAATGAGTCTCTAACAGTGAAGCACAACTCCTGACAAGGGCACAGTAAAATGCAAGTTGCTGCCAAAAGCCAAAGTACCAAGTTCTGCCACATCTGGAAGCAGGGTTACACATCACTGCTGCTGATCAGTCCTCCCAGCTCACCTGGGTCTACTGACTCAGACACAGCAGCTTTCAGGCAGAGAGGTGCCACAAAAAAGATGAAATACAGGCAGCCTCGGGACAGGAACATGGCCAAGAAGAGGCAGTGATGGGTGAATGAAACAGGCAGGTCCAGCTCTCTTGGAGCTCAAATGCTGCTCCCACACATGGCTAAGCTCTGAAGAGGCTGAGAAAACAAGCAGTCAAAGCCTTCTCCACTCAGTAGCTTGTGGTACACATCACCCTTACTGCCCCAGCAGCAGCCTCCCAGGTAGCAGCACCTTTGGCCAAAATGGCTATTTATGACAACAGCAGCAGTAGGTTTTACAGCACTCCTTTCTCCTAAGGAGGTTTCTGCCATGTTCATATGTGACATGTAGCCTAAGCCTTGATAGCTGAATCTGACCCTTCTAACTCCATAATCACTTGCTGAATCTCTGTGCACTGTCATGCCCTTTGCATGGAGGAACATCACCTCCAGTGACGAGCCTTGGAGCCATGTGAGTTACTCTGTACAGAGTACAGTCTGACTGGTTGCCTAAAATAGCTCAGTACTAAAGGTCAATAGTTAGTTAATTGTGTATATTGGCATTCCTATCTAATGCAATTCACTGAGGTCACAGCATGACCTTCTGCACTGGTACTCAGACAATCACAGCAATTTTGAAGGTAACAATTCCTGGGATTCCTACAGTTCTCTGAAGGGTTGCCAGCAGGAGCATACACATTTTTTAATATGCATATATACAGGTGTCCATGCATATATACACATATATGTTCTCATTCTGCCTCCACATGAACAGTGTTATCTATTGGTAAGGGAACTCAGCCTTTCCTTATTACATACTTCTGACTACATGCTGCACAACAAAACCCCAAAAAAACCACCCTGCCTAAGAAAATAAAGGCATCTTTGAAGTGAGCCATAGTGAACATGCCAATGGCTCAGGTGTATTTCAAGACAACCTGCTTATCTGAGATGACATTTCTGGGTGTAGTTGCTGCTGTCCCACTCTGGGCTGCACTTCAGTAACAGCAATTACATCTCATTTTAAAGAATGGGGCCAGTCATATCCTAAAATCTTTATTAAATTATTCACTGAAGGTAAAAAGTTAGAAAGAACTCCTATACAATTTTTCAACTGATTGGAAGTCTAAAGGAAACAAACAAAGGTTTTCCACACATGTTCTAGGTGCCACATGATTAGGAATAATACTGTAAACCTACTACTTGTGCTATAAAACATCTAGAAGTTTCAGCTAAGGAACTGGAACTAACATACAAAGAACTATGCACATTTAATAATAGAACATAACTCTCTTCTGTGCAGACAGAGTGAAAAGAAGCTCAATTTTAAGTCTTTTATTGGGAGGAACTTCAGAACAAGGAGCTTCAGGCAAATACAAATTTAGCAATAGAGAAAGGAACAAAACACTCCACAACTCAAATTTCAACCTGGCATTCTGATTACGGGCTTGCCTTTATTTTATGTGCTCTTGAGTACTTTCAGCAAGTACCATGTTCCATGTACACGATGGCTGACAGCTCTTGCTAAAGCGCACTGCAGTTCCACAGCCTCTGAAGCTCATCTCTGGAGCAGAGGCCAAAGGAGGCCTCCAGTGGTGCCAGCACACCAAGGCAGCAGTGCAACGACACCAAACTGGACACACCTGGCACCTGAGATAGGCAGAACAGGCCACCTATGGACAGGCTGGGGGATGGGACGGGCAGACAGCCCTGCTGACAGGCTGGTTTTGAAAGCTTCTGTACCAACATGGCAGGATCAACCATCAGCAACTTCTGATCTTCTCCAGTAAGTTCTCCCTATCAGATTCATGCCATATTGACTTCCAGTGCATATTAAAATCAAGTGTCTTTAGAGAGGGTTAAGATAAATTATTAAAATGGAGAGTGGTTAATAAAACTGCAGAGGAGACATGGGAAAGAGGCATCTGAAAATTTCAGGACGATTGTGGCAGCACATTTACAACAGACAATCAACTCCACCATGTAATTTTGGCAACAATTTGATAGAAACCAGCAGTCAGCTGCCGGAAGAACTTTCTTCCATACTTTATATAATGTATATGACTATAATTAAAACTATGTCTAGCAACTAGAAGCAAAGTTGAAGTCAGCTTTCCCTTATTATTTCTAAAGAAATCTAAAGGAGGATTCTGTCAGGTACTTTTCTCTAGAGATTCCAGAGCTAAAGATATTAGAAAAAGGAGGCTATCTATCCCTTCAAAATCTCCCCAAGAATATTACAACCAGCCTACAGCACAGGATTAATGCTGACTAAACCCAGTAAAAACTGCACAGGTTGTGCAGGGAGAAGAAAAAAAAGTATATATGGCTTTTTGTCTTTAAAAATCTTCCTTAAAGTACCTTGAATGTACTGAGGCAACAAAAGACGAAAGAAAACCACTGCAGGTTCCTTTATGGGGTGCCCTCATTCCTATATGCAGAAAGAATTCAGCCCCAGGAGAGAGAATTTATCACAGCATAAGGAGACTATCACATTCCTTACAAACATGACTGCACTGTGCTCCAGCATGAGATTACTTGCTCTTGCACTTGAGGAAAAACTATACTTTCATCTTCACACTATACAATTTTTCATGTATTTTCCTTCAACTCTTCAACTCAGTAAAAGAGTTTTTTTAAGCAACTTGTATTTCCCTACCACCAGGCTCATGTACCTGAACAGAACACCTCTGAGGAGCAGTTCTTTTCAGTAAGCCTTGGTCATCTGATAGGCTACAGGACAGCTAAGTTCTGCAACTGAAAAAACTGGACTACTTTTCTACAGACAAATGCTCACTGAATCCATTAAAGCTTCAGGCAACAGTGGACGTGTGTATTCCTATGCTTTTTAAAATCTGTTCCAAGCTGATGAACAACCTAAATGGATTTTAAATTTCATAGCAGAAATTGTGTCTGCACTGGCTACTATTCAGTCTAAGAATAATCTAATACTTTACAACATGCTTCTGCTCAAAAGATAAAATTATACAGGCCTTCAGAAAAGACAAAGCATTTACATTTTTTAAGGAGTTCACTTTTGATTTCTTTGCTGTGATCCCAGTGTTAGCATTTTCAAAGTTTATCCCTTGGAGGGCTATGAAAATAAGACTACAAAGTGCTTCCCCTTTACAGTAGAATCAACCTTCCAAAGCAATCAGATGACAAGAACAGCACACAGATGACCTGAAGGTATTTCCAGACATCACATCATCACTTTCAGGATATATCAGATACTTTAAAGGTAAACAATACCACTAATTTGAGAATAACTATTTAGAGACCAGCTTTGTAAGTGACCTCATTTCATCTGCTTGTAAGCACAATTCCTTTATCTATGAACTGAGGGCATGAATTATCACTACTGTGAAAATCCCTCTTTTGGCTGCTCCCAGTGACTAGCTGTGTGTTAGGGTCAATTTCTTTTATATTTAGAGGATGAAGCTTCTATAAAGCTTAATTATTTCTCTGTGGGGCTTGAATGATGAAGGCACTTTGCAGCAATCAGTGGCTGCTTGAAAAAATGCTGGCTTAGGGTAAACAGCCAAGATGTGGATCTGGGCTGTATTCCCTTGTGCCAACTGGGGTTGCTTCAATCAGCATCAGTGCTGTTTATGTGTCTGAACAGGGCAAGTTGGGGAAAATGGGCTGTGTTCAAGTCCCATGACTAAATAAATTAAATCTGCCTTCAATTTTTTTTTTTTAATTTCAAAGCAAATATAAAAGATTTCAGAAATTTACATGTTTCATGTGTAGCAGATTTAAAAGGAGTGTTTGAAATATATATACCAAAAAAGCAAAGAAGTGCCTGGAGGAATGCCACATCTCCCAGTGTGCAACATACTGCACACAGCCTAATGACACCATATGAAGATTCTCCTGCATTTTATTCCCTGCTCCTTTTTCTGCTCTTTCTGGCCTCCATCCCTAGCCAAGTATTCAGGTGATTGCTTTTTCTTGGCTTGGCCACATGTACTAGCATCTCTTCTGCCTCTCTTAGCATCTGCCTTTTTGCCCCTTTCTCCCAAGGGACAGCTCCACCTGGCCCTGACACTGGGGGTCTACATTCAGAAAGGTCCTGCTACCTCTACCAGCTGATTACATTTGCAGTAGCACCATCTGTCTGCCTCCCTCCCTCATCATTTTAAGCCTATGGGCATTGCTTTCCTTGGTCACAGTAAGTAACACAGCATCCTCTCTTGGCTAAAGGCTGAGTTCTGACTCAATCCTTTCCACTCAAACTGCAGTGTGCAATGAGAGCAGTGGAAAGATACCCAGTAATAATCACAGCGGGTTCATAATGACATATCAGCACCAGTAAGGCTTTGAATCAAGTGTCAGTGCCAAGAATTTGTAGCAGATTTGCTATGTTGGTGTGCTGTAAGCTAGATTTGGGTGGAAAAACAATAGCTGAAACAGTCAGTTGCAGAAAGCATGACCATTACTTCTGTACACACACACACACACTTCAACAAATCTGGAAATGCAGCATGTAATTGATTTAACCCAATTTTGGTTAAAAAGCTCCTCTTAAAATGGTGTCAGATCAACAAGTCCTGTGGATTTCAGAAAGGGCTATACAGGCAACCAAGCATTTCCATACTTGAAATGTGTACCCAATCTGCCTTATTGGCCAGGTTGCTATGGTATTCTGAACAAAAAAATTAGCCCTTTCCTATTAAATCTCACAATGAAAGAAAAATTTTCTGTGTACTTAAGCTTCCATGCAGCATTGCACTACTATAATGTTTCCTGATTTGTCATTTGAAATTGCATGCAACAGCAAAGCACCTGTCAACCACAAATAATTGTTGCAGTTTATCACTGAACTGCCTGGATGCACAAGGCAGCATTCAGACAGGCAGACAAATCAGGGGCTGACTTCAATGATGGGGCTTTCACCCTCTGCCCTTGTTTGAACTTAATCTCCCGAGTGGAGAAGGTGCACAGAATGGATCAGGCAGAGATGATACAGGAGCAATAAGAACATCAACACCTCTGGGAAGCTCACTTTGCAACCAAAAAGTCTCCTCCATTAAACTGGCAAGACTGACTTTGGATCCCCTTGAGAACTTCAGCTTTTGCAATACACAGCAGTCACGCTGAACATTTCAGCACTTCAAGACGAATGTAAATATTGATGTCTCACTTGCCAGCACTCCCAGGGAGAGCTTTCCAGAGTGCAAAGTCCTTCCCACTGCCACACTATCAGTTCTTGATGAATTAAGAATAAACTGTGCAGATTCATATGGGTACCAAAGTGCTGCTGCCAAAATGTTTGTGCTGATTTGAGACACTCTGGGAAAAGTACAATGATAATTAATGGCAAAACTACTATCTCTGTTGAACAAAACCTAAAAATCCAATTAAGGAACCCTAAGATGATAAGAACCAGGGTAAAAAGGCACAAGCACAGCCCCATTTTTAAAAAAAATACATGAATATTTATACTCCCACAGTTTTTATTTAAAAACCCCTTATATGAATGCACATTTTTCTATGCCAAATGGAAAATGATCTCTTATACAATCCATGATAACAACACCTACAGCTTGGTCAATACCTTGTGCACCAGGCACAGTTGACCTGCTCACTGTTTAGGACACCCAGTAATCCTGTCTTTTGGCTCCAAAGTGAAAGTTGTCTGCACCCACATAAGCTATACATTATGTGCAGACACTGTCTCCTCTGTTGGAGATATGAACAATTCTCTAGATCCAGAAGTACTCACGATACTTATTATGTTGCAGCCATAATGACTCAGTGTTTCATTAGAAGTAACTACATATAGCCACTTAAAACTGTGGCAACAAATAATTGAAACTTATATACTCCATGAAAAGTACTGTTCAACCAGCACAGCTACCAAAAAAATCTTCTTTGCAATGCAGAAGTAGGGTATGTATTGCAATAGTTATCTTGGACAGAAGATACTTTTTTCCTAATGGCATAACAAAGCAATTATGCTTTGGATGTGCCCACTGGCTATGCTGAAGAGTGACTAGAAGGGGTGGAGCATCCTGCTTGCCTTACCTGACCAGGCCCTGTAAAATCAAACATTTAAAAATACTTACATAGTCATGTCCTGATAATAAGCTCATGGCACTTAAAAATAGTTCGGTGTTGACCACATATCCTACACATATTATGGGATGCACAGCTATACATATCTTACACACCTTTATCTTACAAAACAACATACTTGAGTGATGTTTTTGGAGCCACTTTCCCCCCAAGATAAGATCTCAGGCATCTGCCATCTATCTTGCTCCTATCAAGCTGAGGAGGCTGACAGTGTGAAAGAGAAAACCTACTGTAGCTTCCATTTCGTTTGACCTGTAAAGAGAGTCTGCAAAACACCAGAGTTCTAACGTTTCAGGAGTGGCTATCAATGACAGGCATAAATAGCATTTTCTACTGGTCACATCATCACATATATCACCCAATTTTGAAATGAAAAGAATCCAAGCACCCCCAAATTTATCAAAGACTGAGTTATATGGAGCAACATACCTTTGAGATGTTACTAGAGCGGCTCACAGAATGCCCCAAAGCCTTCTCATTCTGAAAGAGCAAGAACAGGATCACTGCAGCAACAAGTCACACTTATGAAACTACTTAAAAGTTGCCATTAAAAATCAAATTCCATGGAGAAAGTCTTACATCTGGGGCTTTTAACGCTGCTTCTATTGACATCAGCCTGATTTACAACAATCACTGGATTGCTGTGTTTGTTTAACAAGATATTATCTTGCAGAAAATCACATAGGCAACATATGTACAAACTGATAAACAGTAAACCAATTATTTATTTTCTCTGAGGGTAGTGTAAAGGCCTTTACTCAGATGGCATCCATTTTGGAAAAGACACTTCTCAGTATCATGGAGATCTGCTTCATCTACATTTAAAGGCAAACATCCAACCACTAGAGCTGAAAGCTCTTGCTTAATGAAAAACAAAAATGACACAGTGATGTTGAAACAATTTGAATAACCACATGCATGTCACTTCAGAATACAGGGCAGAATTACTGAGGAACTTCCTTTTAATACAGAACTTGGAATTAAATTGGAAATATCAAACAAGATGGAAATGTGGAAGCTGCAATTCTCAAAACTTAAGTAAGTGATGATTGCATCTGTTATTCACTTTTCAGTGTGCAGACCCTGACACAAGGATGACAATCTTATCTTCTTCAAAAATTAACCATAGGTTTCAGCAAGATATTTTATCCTTTAAGGATACCTGGTTTCTGAACATCAGTTCACAGTAACTGTAACTGGACACAGTTGCTTCACTTCGAAGAGCCTAGAAATTGCTTTGCAAAAACCTTTCTGAATAAAATCCAATGAAAAATACTTTTTTCCTAAACAAGCAGTACAAACAGAGCAAGTTGTAACATTCAGTTATGGATCTACATTCCCCTAAGTTTGTAGCTGGGATGCAATAGGTTTGAGATTTAATCTCTCTGACAAAAAGACAAAGTTAGTACTTCTTCCTGTGGTCTCTGTGCTATGTAAAGGCTTCTGGAAGTGCATCTTTCTGCTTGGAATTTTAGGAAACAAACTCTTTCACATTTATTCCTGAAGAGAATTAAACCTAACAGAGACACTTTTGATTGTCAGCACCCTCTTCTAGTCTTCTGGGCAGTGACTGATCAGACAGAAATTAAGATCAGGAGTCCTACATCTATAACAAACAGGGACATGTACATTCCCTGTTAGTAAACTGCTGTTTACAGTGGGAGATCAGCACACTGGTCTCACACGTCCTGTCTGCAGTTTGCTACAACTCAAATGACCCTTCAGTGACTAAAGCCCACATGAAGTCAGCCTGACTGGCTGAGGATTCAGATGCTACACCCAAACTTTTAACATCCTTGTGCTCTGAGATACTTCTTCTACAGAGCATCCTCCACAGCAACTTCCAATCTTTTTTATGAGAAAGAAGCCATAAAGGCATAAAACTTTAGCATGTGCTTACAAAAGCAGGGTGTCCCCTTCTTACTCCACGAGCTGCCTCTCAGCAGTCCTGGGTACTATGCCAGTTGACAGATAAAAACTGCATTTCCTTCATTAAAAACATGAGGAAGAAAATACAGTTCTGAAATTTCCTGTAGGAATCCAAGTAGCTAGAAGACAGTAAAATAGTATTTCTGACGAAAAGGGGAAAAGTGGTTAAGGAACACCACATGCTAGTTTTGACCTACTGCCAAAATAAAAATCAGCAAGTATCAGAATGCCAGATTTGTACACTGCAAGACTGAGTTTGATTTTTGAGATAACTGTAAGCTTTTGTTACATAGATAACAGTATTCCTGGAACACAGACAAACAAAGATCCTCAAAAATATGGACATAATGCTTATGTGAAGACTAATGTTGGACAGGACTACAGCCAGAACCTGTGTGGCCAAGAACTGGCTCCACTCATAGGAGACAGCCTAGCTGACTTCATCAAAGGCACTGGAACCATAGCAACAGGGCAAAAAAAAAGTTCATTGAAGCTACAGGAGACAGGAGGAAGCTACAGGAGAAGAGGAACATGTTCTCAAGCTATGAGGAAAAGAGACCACCACAAGTTGGCAAGCAAAAGACTTGCCACTGCCTGTGTGTGAGGTGTGGGGGGAAGCAGGCTGTGCTTGACCTTCTAGGGATGTGTGGGAAGCAAACAGAGCAAGGCTACATGCAACGAGGGAAAATGATAGTGGAGAGTGAAACCATTGGGTGAGAAGTCTCCCTGAGGCAAGACAGGTGACAGTCTCAAATCCAGCCCCAGGTGACCAAGACAAGGATGAAATTAAACAGAGCAGAGGTTTCCTCATGTTAACTCAATGCCCCCCACCAAAACTCCTGTCTACCTGAAGAAGATGCTTGCAAGGGAGCATGTCTGAACTTACACAGGCACCTGCATTGAAAAGGACGTGCTAAAATTCAGTAAGCATCACAGGCTGGAAGACAAGACCTGTATTTCCACAACATGGTAGATGATGCAGAGCAAACAGACTTTTAGCTGCTGCCACAGAAACTTGTCTTTCTGCCTCTGCTCCCAGAACTGATTTTATCTGATAGATGCCAGGAGCCTCCAAGAGACAGAAACACATATTATCTTTATTCATCTACTGTTAGAAACATACCTATCAGAGATTTCAGTTAGGAGATAACTGCAAATAATTGGTTATGTTATTGAAAAAGTGACCATTTTAAAGCAAAAATCAGAATTGAAAAGTACTCCCATAAGGGCTACAGTGTGCATGCACACGTATATTTAGGGATCTGTGATATTCCTAATGGACTCCTAAGCACTTAAGTGCTTTTTAACATCTGTTTCTTAGCCACACAAAGCAAGTACATCCATAACATCAACAGGAAATTCACTACAGTAGCTTTTAATAGTAGACACAGTTAATGAGGAACAGAAACATTAAACAGATAAAAATTATTTAAAAGACAAAAAACAAATCTCACTTTTCACTCTATATCCATCACCAGTACTGGGATCTTTTATAATTATTCACAAGTTAACACTGACATGGGAATGGCAAGGCTAAGCTTTCATGGTACTATCACTTCCAACAAATAAAAACCTTCAGAGACTTTCTAGTATGTTCCCACTGCGCAGTAAGACATATTCTGGTGGGTAAAAAGAGCTCCAAACAAGCTCTCCTTCCCTCATGCAAAAGCATTAGGCTTTGCACTTGAATGAAAGATCAAGATAAAAGTAACATCTGCAACTAAGGACCCTACAATTTTCACCTGTTAGTGTCATGCTCCTTTAGCAATTCTGTTTTTCTATATGGAATAATGGGAATCCTGCCTTTTTAAGTCATCCTCCTCAACTAGAACCACCTGGCAGATGTTTAAAAAACAAACAAACAAACCCCACCCATGTAGGAAAAAAATTACAATTGCAACTTGTCACTTCTCCTGAGTGCTGGCTGCTCTGAGGTCCCCAGCAGCTAGTGTGGCTCTAGAAAAATGAATGAAAACCAGCAAAATTGCTACCCAGTCCTCTGGATCCACTTGCTTGCAATTGCCAGAATCCTCCTCCCAGCTTTCCTTTCTTTTTCTACCTTCCCCTTGAATCTTCTCCCAGCTGTGTGACAGAGCTGCCTTCTTCCTTCTGCAGTTGCTTCAGCTCACATTTGCCTTTCTTCAGGGCTCTACACCTTTGCCTTCTCCTTGCTGCCTGGCTCGTTTTCCCTCCTGCCACCATTCCTCAGCTGCATGACATCTCTCAAGGCCTTTTCAGTTCAGCTATCTAGAAGACAACTCTCTCCTGTCCTTCCTTTTGCCTCAGTCTTTCATATATTCAGCATTTCAAGTTATTTTGCCCTTGCTTCCCTACCCTAACGTATCCATTTTCCACTGAGCACAACAGCTACATAACTCACAAAGCCAAACCCAGAATTCCTGTGAACCCCAATACATCAGTTCCTACCATGAGAGCCACAGCAGCCAGAGCTGCTCTTGTCCCTTACAACACCATTGTATCAAACTGACCTTTCTCCAAACTTAGCTGTAGATGCTGACGTTACTGCAGCATCAGCAAGCGGGCACCCAAAAGAAATACAACTTAAATATCTTGGCCAGATGGAAGGTAAACAATATATTAGTAAAATAATTTGGTTTTGTATTTCTGATTTCCAGTCATTAAGGCAGGCAAATAGAAGACAACAGAGGATGCAGTTTCATAGCTTGTGCAACTGCCTTCTGTTTACAACTGTGACTACAGATGTAATCCAGTCCTAAGAATGATTAATGCTAAACCCATCTTTTATCTCTGCTCATAGAACTGCAGAAGAAACTGCAAGCCAGATCCCAATGGGTTAGCAAGATGACTTTTATTCTATTTCCATCTCGGAAAAGAGGACAGAGGGCACCAGAAGATGGTACTCCTTTGCCCTCAGGACACCAGTGTCTATGTGTGAACCCAGCACAGGTTTGCTTCCTGAAGTCTTAATTCTTTAACACACTAGTGACCTGTTAGGGCACTATATTCCCCATTTTGCAATACAATTTCTGTGTTACATTATCTTACATGATATCATGGGTTAAGAGCTTCATCTGAAGATAGGTGTTCTCCATCTAAAATCTCAGTAACAAAGAGCAGAGAGTTCATTTTGAGGAGGGTGTTACTGCAACGACACAGACAGAGATGCCTACAAGGCAAATACTAATGTCTCAGCCCAAAAGAGACACAAAAATAAAACCAGGTCAGACTGGCTAGAGCCCTGCCAACTTGTGGTTTTCTATGTGGACTCTGAAAGGCATTTTAATTTCATTTTGTGCATTACAACTGTATTTTACAATGACAAATTAAGCATGAGATTGATATCTAGCAAAATCACTTACTGTTATTAACAATCCATGTCAATGAATTTTAACAGAGTCTTCTGGGTAAATGGTTGCTTTTCTTAATAAAAACCTTTGCAGAAGAGAATGAATAAGTAACAACTGCTCTTCATACATACATACAGCAATTCTCATTCTTAGATCTGAGGAAAATTAGAGAATGGAACACAGAATGGCACTGTTTGAACTGGTGAGGTGCTCAAGTACTGA